ACATTATACTTGTGGTAGTAACATACAAGTACCACAGCGGAATTTAAACGGAATTGGAGGATTTTTTTTTTTTTTTACTTCAATCCAAGCGAGACATGGTAACTGTACTTTTTCAATAAATGAACCTAGTGTTTTATAGGTTCAAATAGACACAAAATCTCATTTTTATTTATTCCACTGGTAGTCTGTTTCGCTCAAATAGCAATAGAGGCCTGTCTCTAATTCTGGCCTCTTTCCAATAAAGGCCTGGACCGCGATGCACTTGAGTGAAATAAAGGCCCGGGCCTATATTAGAGGATTTACGGTATATTATAACCTGAAAACAAGGATTTTAAAAATGTTTTCATTTGACTTTGCACTATGGGGTTACCACACTCTCCCCAACTGGGAGTAACTATTTATAAAGAAATGGATTAATGACCAGGCTTTTATCTACCAATACGTATGGACGGATGTTGTACAGCTTTTACTAAAAATATTAGAAATTGTGCGCACTGGTTTTGGGATGTACGACTTTGGTATGCCCTAATTTTTCCCTGGAAACTTCGCTCAAATGTTCACAATTTCACAAGCAGCTGATGCAGGATTTGGAAAAATTGACCTTTTGCTGCTCGACGTGCCACATCAACCAATCAGAGAAGCTGATCTGGGAGCTGGCAGACAGACAGACACAGCAATGCTGATGCAGATCACTATGATCACTCCACTGTAATTGTTTGACGCCTAAATTATTTTAAAATGTTGAAACCTGTCAGCAAAATATGTTCCATTTTATTATTTTGGTATACCTGTTCATTCAATTTTTCTGGTTTAACTTAATTTTTGGGGCGAATCAGTAATGGTTGAACAGCAAAGCCAGTTTAATTCAGTTAGCTTCTGAAACACAAATTTAAAACATGTGATCTTCAGTTCAGTTAGATCATCCAGACAGATTGATTAAAATATTGCATTATCTCCTCCTGGATGAGCATGTGGAGACTTTACATGTTTCTATTAAGTTGTACAGCAATCTGTCATACTTAGCATGCATGCAGTGAAAGTGGAGAGAAAAAAACTTGCTTTAGTAACAATAGCTTATTTATAAGACATGCTTTACAGTTTGAACCAGGTGAAGCTATACCTATACTAAACCATCTGAGCTGCTGTAGATCGAAGCTATTTATGATAATGAAAGTTTTTAATCTTAAATAGAAACTGTGAACACTGTGAAAATGCTGCTTTAAGCAGGTTGTTCTTTCGACAAAGGTCTTTTTTTTGTCAGTATATTCAAATGAATAATTTAATGAACTGTTTATGACCTTATAATAATTCTTAATATTCTAATCCAGTTCCTATCATAACAGCTACTGGATGACTTACACAAAATTATTTAACTCAAACTAAAGACAAAGGTTGTTTCAGTGGTATCTGCGGGATATACTTCATAAATTTCTGTGCATTACATCTATTAGGGGTGTAAATAATAATCATTTTGTATCAATGCATCAATCCAACAGCCTACGATTCGATGCATCGACACATCCGCAAAAGTATCGATTCATGTTTTTTTTGTTTTTTTTCTCCTCCGGTCTATTTTTATCCATTTGGTCCTGGATGTAATTCTGACTTCGATGCTGCAATGGCGCTAAACATATTTTGCCCTCCATCCTCAATTCCTTTAGCCACCACCCTCTTTACACTTACAGTATTTTTTGATGCAAGGTCTTTCAGAATCTATAACAGAGGCATTATTATTTTTCAGTGAATGAGGTTTCCATAGGCCCTAGATGGAGTATAACTTTGCTACTTTTGTTATTTGCTGTTGTTTCTCAAATAAAATGCATAGTGATATTACAGCTTTCATTGATTTATTTCAAATTTAAAATGTTGTCTAGCCTCTAAGGTAAAAAATAAATAAATAAATTAGCCAATTAATCGAATCGTATCCTGTTGTATTCTTGAGTATTGAAAATAATCGAATCATTGGGTCAGAAAATTGATATTGAATCAAATCGCCATGATGGGTGTGACTTACATCCCTAACATATATCATTAAACATTTCCTTAATTTTCTTCAATTGTTTCCTCATCTAATTTCTTTATTTCTGACACTTTTGACAATCTAATAATACACGGTCTATTGTTTCATTTTCCTCACAATTAGTACATTTTCCTTTATTATGTCCTGTGTTTCCATAACTTGACCTCATCATCACCCTTTCCTCCTTTCTGTTCCTTCTTTCATTTTTTATTTCACCCACTAGAATTTTGGATAGGATAAAACCATCTACCTTTACTCTCTCTATCTCATCTTTTCTGTCCTTTGTTCGTTAATTTTTGTTTGATTATACATACTCTTTTCTTCTGGTTTACTGATATACACAATAAATTCTATATGGTTTTGAGTTGCAATCTTAGCCTTCTTATCTTCCTTTTCATTTCCTTTTAATACAGTATGTGCTGATATACATAGTAATACCACTGTTAAACCCATCTGTTGTAATCTGAATAATGTCAGCTTAATTTCTAATAACATACCTGGTCTACTGCCTGAAAGATTGTGTTTTTAACTCATCAATACAGAACTTGGGTCTGAGAAATTATTTTCAAAGGTTTAAGCTCCTCCAACAGAACTGCCAACAAAACTGCCAAAAATTCTACTGGAATTAATTCTTGTGCCTCTTCCATTGTTAATACAATACAAATCTTTTATTTCCATCAGTTCTTTTTATGACCTGTCCTTTTTAATTATTAAATGTTCCCCATATGGTCCTATTAGCATTAAAGTCTTCACAATAAATTACTCCATATATCTCAACCACGCCTCCATCATTTCAACTTATAATGGTTTACACAGGTAAAACATATATATATATATTTTACACTTTACTTATTTTCGAATTGTTTAACTTTTCCTAAAATTTTATACCACACTCCTTGCTTTATAAATGTCCCACACTATTCTCCACTTATTTCTAGTCAACCTCTTCTTAAACCCTTATATTCTGTAATAACAAAGTCTTTTGATGATTTTAACCATGTTACGTCTAAACAGATCACATCAGGTTCCTTTTCATTCCATTAATAAAGCCTTTAAATTCCTGTGCATTAGCAATCAGACTTCTTGCATTCCATTGTAATATTATCATATATTATCCCCAGAGATTCCAGATCTCCCCTCTTTATATCATATATTATCTTATGTATATTCTCCCATGATCCCTCTTTAAAACCCAACAATTGTTTTGCCCCCTCACGACTATTTTAATTTCCTCCGTATTATATTTAGCCTGAAAAGTACAATCAATAACACAAGCAACAAACAATATAAGTTTCTTAACTGGCATTGTAATGTTTTCCTCTGTTTTGTTGTGGTACCTGTCTCTCGTTTTCTTCCATATCACTTGTTGTTTGTCATTTACCACTTTTTACTGCCTTTGCATAAGTTGTATTTTTGCTAATCTTCAGTTGTTGAATTTCCCCTGCTGTTTTCTTCACTTCACATCCTCCATATGTCGCTCTATGCTGCCCACCACAGTTAGATTGTTCTTATTTTTCTTTACATTCAATCAATCTGTAGGCTCCTCCATACTTTGGACTTCTCTGTTTTCCTCAACAAACTTCTGCTTATGTGTCCATATCACTGGAATTTGTAGCATGGAAGTGGTGGAGTTATGTAAGTCCTTACTCTGAAGATCAAATATCCTTTTTTCATATTCTCTGGTAAAACTGTCTCTTTAAACTCAATCAATATGAACCAATTCCAAACTCTTTCTCCATTTACGATTTTTGGAAGTCCATTCATTGGACCAAATCACCCCCACAGAATGTTTTGGTAAATGGTGAATGACCTGTGCTTATATAGTGCTTTTCCAAGTCAGGAGAGTTGACCAAAGCGCTTCACACTACATTCAGTCATTCACCCATTCACAAACACACTGATGGTGGCGGGCTACATTGCAGCCACAGCTGCACTGGGGCTCACTGGCAGAAGTGAGGCTACCCTCTGACCATCAGTAGACCTTTGCCATCTTTATTTCAGGGCAAACTCCTACACCCAACACCACTGTCGCCATGTTTTATTTTCTCCCAAGACTTTTCTTTCAATTACCACTTTTTTGCTAGTGTTCTCAACCGGTAACACTTTAGTTTTTTTTTCTTTACTTTTGGAAATCACCAGCAGGTTTCTGACTCTTAACTCTTAAACAATTTCAACATCTTCAATTTTCTTTTTTATTTCTCTAGATACCAGAATTCGACTGTAGTTATGGTGCTCTTCTTCATTTAACTTCAGTATGTTATCTTACACTCCTCTTTCAGGTTTTTCCTTTGAGTTATCCTTTCTTAAATCAAGCTGCTTCTTTCAAAACCTTGTTTATTGCCCAATCTGTTCATCCGGTGACCATCTCTCACATTCCATGTCTTCCTTGTTGCCATCCCAACCATTCACATACCAGTTTATGTGATATGCCACCGCCACTATATGTCTGGAAATCAAAATAAGGAAAAAACCCTGACTGTTTTTGTCAAACCACTACACCTCTGTGCGCAAGCAAAGTTCACATTGAACATGCGGAAATGTTTGTGTGGCTGCTGTATAAGGTCCTTCTCATCATAAACATTTATGTCTATAATTCTCACACATAAAACATTTGATAATGTATGCTAACATTTGGATACATTTGGTTCATACAGTTATGTAGATAGACCTTATTGTAACATAACTTGAGAAAGACTTAGGGTTATGAAGATATATTTAAAACATAACATTAATACAATTTAACATACTTCTAGGCCAATTGTTTGTTGTTGTTTTTTTTTTTTACAAGTTTATAGTTTCCTGTAACCTATAATATGGCAAGGTTAAGAGTAAATACCAGCGAAACGTTTAAAATTTATTGGTGTGTTTGAAAACATATTTGGTTAACCAATTGCTTGGTTTTAAGGCTGTATTATTAGCCTGAAAGTTTACACATTTATTTATATCATTATTATAAAATAAGTATATCCTGATAACTTACCAGCTGCAGCGCTGTTTATTCCCAGAAGAACCAGAACCACCAACTTGATCATTTTGTCCTCTGTCACCATCTGGATCCATTGGGTTCAGGAATAATCTGAGGCTCCAGTCTGAGAGAAACTCCCTGATCTAGGATGAAAAAGGGGCGTTACCAAATCCTGACAAATAAGAAAATATTATGACCCAACACGTCATATAAACCCAGGTGAAGTTTACCTGTACAGGTTGTCATCGAAAATGAAACCATAAAACTGCTTCTTTACCACGTGATGACCTGAGACGTTCACGATTTAAGTTTCTTCATAACCAGGGATTAATGCTGCAATTTCTCTCTGATACTGTTCGTTTATGTTAACAATTAAAACAAAAACAAAAATTGTTGTTATTATTCTATTTATCAAAGTACACATCATACAGCTTGCTAATATAGTTTAGCCTTCAAACGTTGGTTCACTTTTAGAGCATTTTCTCTTTCTGGTCAATGGCGCCCTCTGGTGGTAAAGACCTGCTGACATCTGGCTTTGAGACAAAAAAAATGTTTTCTTTTGATTATAAAGAGTTCAAATACACAAATCTAGAGACTGTGAGAGCAACATTATTTTAAGGGTTTAACATTATAAAGTCTATAGAACACATACGTTTGATATGCTTTCCTTAAGTTAAATTTCTGTATCATTTATATTTTTATCCATCCATGATGTAATTGTAAATGCTATTAAGATTCTATTAAACGTTGTGTAATATTAAACCAAGTATTTTGGACATAGAAGACATTGAAATTCCCTATTTTTAAAACTGACTTTCACATTAAAAAACGAAAACAAGAGTCAAGCAATAAAAGGGATTTTTGATTATAATTTGTAATTCCAAATGAAAGCTGGGCATAGAACATTCTACAAGAAAAAAGGAAGAAGGTCCTGAGTTTCAATCCCTGCCTAAGAGCTCTGCATGGAGTTTGCATGTCCTGCCTGTTTGATCATGTAAGGTCAATGTATGAGTAGATGTATGTGTGCATGCCAACATGTCCAATCACCTATTGACCGTATGTGTCCCCTTATATGTGGAGGTGCTCCTGGACAAGTTGTGTGCTTGTCATTCTTGGGATGCTAATGTAAAATAAATTTTTATTGTCGTTATGACCGGGAAAAAGATCCATTTGCTTCATCTCAAAAAACTAAACGAGGACTAAAATGCTAAATGTTTGTACAATAAAACAATAAGTAATCTAGTAATCTAAGTATCAGCAGGTGGAAAAAACAACACAACGCTGGTGGAAATCCATGCTCACACAGAACTAAACTCTCTTCTCAGTTGGCCTGGGGTCTGTTTCATGAAGCAGGTTTAACAAACTCAAACCTGCAACTTTAAATTGATGTAGAAAGAAATTGCGATTATATTTAATACAGTGCAGCAGTGATCAAGAATGTAAACAGTGTAGGACAATAGAAACCACTTTAAAAGTCATGATGTAAAAGCCATTTAAATGGAAAGGTTCAGTGTAGTGAAAAAAAATAGATATGGTGCAAAATGCAGAACAACATGAATGAATGGAAGAATGAATGAATGAATGAAAAAGAATTTATTTCAGACAATTTTGAAAAGCAACAATTAATAAATCCACTAAATGCACACAAAAAGAGACTAGTTAACAACAAACCAAACCAAACTCCAATTTTCAAACAAACTACATTCACCTCAACATAGAGTTGCTGGCCTCTGGGGTTCCTGCTGCTATGAGGGCGGTGTCCCGGCAGCCCTCATAGTCTTATCCTCCCGAGGTCCTCCATGTCACCGTCCTTCCTCCCAAGGTCCTCCTTCGCCACCGTCCATCCTCCAGAGGTCCTTCTGAGGCCCTTCTTTGCTACCGTCACCCACAGCCAGCCTCCAGAGACTCATCTTCTTCATTGACCACCTTTGGTGGTTTTTGTTTTTGTTTTGGACTCTGGGTTTTGTTTTGTTTCTTGCCGTCCTTCCTGGGCCCCCTCCGTCCACCTTAGGTGGGTTGTTTGTGTTTGATGTTCAAGATTGGCCTGTTTTTCAGTGTACTCCTGTTTCTCTGACTGTGACTAACTGGATGTGCTCTCTTCATCCTCTGACATGGGAGCTGGCTCAGAGCTCGTCTGCCTGGGTGTGTGTTTCCTGGACGGGGTCGCCTTTTACAGTTGCCATTTGTATCTCTGCTTCTGTCTCCTTGAACCCCAGTGGGCCTCAGCAGATGGCCGCTCACACTGAGCCTGGTTCTGCTGGAGGTTTCTTCCTGTTAAAAGGGAGTTTTTCCTCTCCACTGTCGCTACAAGCATGCTTAGTGTGAGGGATTGCTGAAGAGTCAATGAGTTGATGCAATCAACTGGTTTTTCTTAGATAGAAAACTTTGACTCAATTTGACTGGATGATCTGTGGAGTGCCTTGAGATGACGTGTTGTGAATGGTTGTTATAGAAATAAGCTGAATTGAATTGTTTCGTTTTTTCCGATTGTTTTTTGGACTCTAAAGGCATCTGGTATCTGACCTTGAAGGGGGGGTACTGTCAGGGTGCCTGTGTGTGTGAGTGAGTGCAAGTTATGCGTCTCCTCCAGAGAGGATCTTTGTGGAAAACCTGGGTAGCCTACACAGGTGAAGATCATCTGTCTCATCAAAGTGCTGGGCTTTAAAGAGCAGCAGAGCCTTCACTCAGGGCTGGTTTCTTGTTGTTTCATTGCTTTCTTGTCTCTTGTTTCCCGCAAGTATTTTCCCTGAAGTTTATTGGTTTTGGTTTGGTTTTCAGTATTTTTTTATTTTTGCCTCTGTTGCTCTTGGAGTTTTCATTATATCATCAAAACTCATCTGTGCCTACTCATCTCTGCATTTGGCTCCTCAAAACCTCCACCTTACTTGACAAATTGTCTGAAAAGGGGTATGAAGAATGAAATTTTTTTTCATACATCCTCTCCGTCTAATTGCACTTAAATTAACTTAGTGTAGAGTAACCTTCCTGTTAAACTTCTATGTTTTATGTGCTATGTCCTTTACCAGAGGCCTTGAAGCTTAGGGGTTCTGTGCATTATCTTTGTTGTTCCTAGAACTGCACTCTTCTGGACCAAGATGTCTGATGTATTTCCAGGGATCTGCTTTAACCACTCTTCAATTTTGGGGGTCGCTGTCCTGAGTGCCCTAATGATGACGGGTACCACTGATGCCTTGACCTTCCAGGTTTTCTACAGCTCTTCTCTGAGCCCCTGGTATTTCTCTAGTTTCTCATGCTCCTTTTTCCTGATGTTGCAATCACTTGGTATTGCCATGTCAACCAAAATGGCTTTCCTCTGCTTTTTGTCCACCATCACAATGTTTGGTTGGTTTGCCATTACCAACCATTATATATACCGTACATATATATACATACCTACACAAACACATCAGGGATTGTACATTGGCACTTACAGTACTGCAAATAAATATTTAATGATTTATTGTGTCAAAAGCTTTTTTGAGATCAATAAATACACCAACTGCAGATTTCTTTTTATCGAAGGCGCTGGTGACTTCTATTACTTCAGTGATGGCGATTGCTGTAGATATAAATTCATACTAACTTTCGGAAAGCACTATGTTTACTAATAAATGTATCTAATCTATTCACAAATAGTTTTTATTTTTATTTTGGAATACTGTGTAAGAGGAGAAATAGGCCTATAATTTGTGAAATGGTGTCTGTCCCTGGATTTGTAGTGGAATAACTTTGGCAATTTTTATCTTTTCTGGAAATTTACCTCAAATGACAGATTGCCGATGTAGATGAGAGGGTGAATAATTTCTTCAATTACCTTCTTAATTACTATCATATCAATGCCATCACAGTCAATTGACCTCTTGTTTGAACATTTATTGAAAATATATATAATTCCCTTTCTCTCATAGCAGTGAGAAACATTGAATTAGGATTTCTGCTGATTGTTTCATTCAGGGCTCCAGTTGTTGTAGGATCCAGGATTTATTTTCTACCAGTTTGGGTAGCACACAGACAAAATATTTCTCGAAATTATGAACAACGTCATTAATTTCCTCAAAATTGTTATTGTTATTTAATAAAAACTGCTATTCTACTATTTGTAGAATAGCAGTTAATTTATTCTTATATTTATTCTCTACCTCCAAAGATCTGTGTCTTATGAAATCTCTATAATTTATAAAAAAAATTTTTTGCAGATTTTGCAAACCCTTTGTGATCCAGGGAGCTTCTGAGTATTTGTTTTTATGAGAGAATATTATTAATGGACAATTTTGATCAAAACCGGAAAAAAAATATATATATCTCATGTCAACTGAGTTGTAGAATCCTCTCAATATTCAATATAAATATTTGATTATCTGTGAATTAATATTGATCATTCTTTGATAAGATACTTGAGAAACTGGCCCGAAATGTTTATTTTTAAAACCTTATGTTTCTAACAGACTTGGTGAAAGATTTTTTCTTTTTTTATGCACAAAACAACGACAAAAATCGAACTAAATCAGGATGTAAAACAACCTGATTGGCTGTAAGGAGAGTGGAGACAGAGGACACTAAAGAAAACCTGCTCCTGACCAGGTTAGCTCTGGGGAGAATGTTACTATTCTGACTAAAACAGAGACTGAGAAAACTCTCTTTTTTAAACAGAAAACTCAGAGTTTCCCATATTTCAGTTTTAGAAAACATTTACAGTGTTTACCAGGCGCCCTTTTCAATAAACAGGTTTAAATTAGATTTAAATCCCCAACTTTAAATTGATCTAGGCAAAAGACGGGAACTCCGAGTTTTCGGATTTCAGAACGGCTGCTATGATTTACTCGAAGTAGGTCCGCTCAGAGTTGAGCACGTGCATAAATTGCTTATTTCACCCCACTGAAACTAGAGTTTTTATTGCAGAAATGAAAAGAATAATGGATAATGTGTTTAAAAGACTGAGAACTAGCTGCAAAGGATAAGATGGCAAGAAGTAGATTGCTGTTCAATTAATGTGTAAGCTATGAAGTGTTGTATGGCAGGCCATATCTACATTTATTAAATTCATTCTCCTCTCTGTCGTTCCATTTGTAGTTCACTAAAATAAGATTCTTTCCGATCAAGATCATATTCCTAGACTAAATAATAAGGATGCTGGGACATCTCAACTCAGTTTGTTTTTTTATTTGTCTTTTCCTTTCTCACAAATCTCACAAACATGTGAGTAGGTTGATTGCCTACAAAGAAAAAATACACACCAGAAATAAAACCAATGACTGATGATCAGAGATGGGAAGTAACGAAGTACAAATACTTCG